ATAGGGTGAGAAGCTCGGTCACTCGGGAGGAGCTCAGAGTAGAGCCGCTGCTCCTCCACATCGAGAGGGGTCAGCTGAGGTGGCTCGGGCATCTGTTCCAGATGCGTCCTGGACGCCTTCCTGGGGAGGTGTTCCGGGCACGTCCCACTGGGCGGAGGCCCCGGGGAAGACCTAGGACACGCTGGAGAGACTATGTCTCCCGGCTGGCCTGGGAACGCCTCGGTTTCCCCCAGAAGAGATGGAGGAAGTGTCTAGGGAGAGGGAAGTCTGGGCATCTCTGCTTAGACTGCTGCCCCCGCGACCCGGCCCCGGATGAGCGGAAGAAGATGGTATGGTATGTTCTATTCTATGCAGTATTTAATGCAATTACATCAGATTTTACTTTAAATTACAGAAGAATTAAGAGTAATCACTTTAATTGAATTACAGTATTTAGATTACTTGGTAATTAATTACACCCCACACGTAAAACGTAAATTTAAGCATTGACTCCAGCAACTATTTTCTCCCAAGCTAAAACAGTCCTGCTAGTGAGAAATATGAAGACCTCTTTTTGTATGGCGCTGTTGCATAGTGATTTAAAATATCTGTGCTCCATTGATAATGGCTTTTTATAGGTGTGGTGCACGCGCTTAACTCAGAGTCAATCAACCTAGAGTTCATTGAACTAACTAATTTCAGCTGTTCTGTAACCGAAAACGTTTCCCATTTCAGGGTGAGACAACTCAGATTTCAAGTTTAAACTCAGAGTTGATTGAACAGAGAACCTCCTTATTGAAACGGGCCCCTGGAATGTTTCCCTTCATCTTTGTAAGTTAAATTTGTAAATAAAGCGTCAACATTAAGTTCCTTTTGTCCTCGTCTTCTGCATCCTGCACAGCCCCTGACACAATGATTCATTTATTAAGATGGTCACTTCCCACCACTTATTGGTTTATTGTTTAAAGGCATCATTGATTTTTTTTTAATTATTTGTTTAAACATCAATCTCATAAAAAATTGTATTACAGTTGTAATTTTGCAGAGTATATGATTTAATTTCATTGATAACAGCCCTTATTATTAAAACTGAGTTTGATCAAATTTAAGAATTTGACATGAAAGAGAATGCATATATTTAGTGAGGTTTAAAAATTGTCCTTATAAAGGTAATTAACACCCTGGTGTAAACAGAACCCTTTAACCTTGAGGCCCCAACCTTCACACTAACTATTATGTAGGCTATATAATATGTGTTTTGTAGAATTTATATGTTTTTTTGGGTGTATATGTGACCTTGACTTGAGAAAGATGTTCTCTTTGTCTATAGATGCAGCAGCAGGAGCATGCAGAGCATTTTGGGGGTACTCAGCTGGCAGTGGTGAGGAGTTATGATTCACTGACTGGCATATGGAGAAGTTCCTAAGACCTCTGCATACAATTTTCAACAACATGCCAGCAAGAAGGGAGGATTTCTGTAATCACACAAAGTCCAAAATCTTCGCTTTGCCTTTTTGTGGTCACCTCAGGATTGAGAACCTCCCAGTGGCAGAAAGGGCCCTTGTCATCTGGCCAGACATGATGAAGTATGTTGATACTGTTAGCACCAAAAAGCTTCCTAAACTTGGGACACGTCCTCCTATGATAACATTGCGGTGGCAAAAAAAACCCTCTCATTCTGGCACAGCATCACTTTTTCATTGGAAGTGTGTCAAAGTGTAACACCCTTCCTTTCCAAATACCAGCCTGATGAGCCTGCGCTGTCTTTCATTGGTAATGACTTCGCTGAACTGCTGAAGGTGAGGTGAATCTTCTCATTTTATTTTCATATTGATTTTTAGTGAAATCTCCTCTCATTCACAGTTATGCTAAGACTAAAGCTAAAACTGAATTAATTGAAATGCAAATATTTTAAATAGTCAGATCAATTTGCCTAATTTAATAATACTGAAGAAAAGAAACATTGTAAAGTCAGAGTGCTTATTTTCATTGTTATAGTGTACTGTCAAATGATGCCACACCTTAGCATTTGGTCCGGCTTGATGTTAGTGACATGCAGTCCAGGGTTCATCTAAGAGCTGTTGATATTGGCATTGGAGCTGAGGCTGCAATAAAGATATTTAGGAAATACATCACGTGTAACCAGACTGTTCCTGGTGTCCCTGTTGTTAGACTGGTCTACTCAGCCCTACACTGGATAAGCTGTCCAAAATTGTGAAGAAGATTCAAGAGAAGAGCCCTTTGAGCCCAAATGACTTGTCTTAACCCGGCCATGATGTATTCGGATCCTGAATTGTGTCAGGAAAGTGTCTAGTCAAAAGGTTTCTCCAAGACAAGCAGTTAGACGGGGTTTCTACAGGTACATAAAGATGATTGTATGCCTCCTGACATTAGGCATACAATTTACAAAAGAATCACATGCACATTTGATTGAATTATTATATATGTGAGTGCTTTTTCATTTCTTTCTTTAGGTGATCTGATCATCCAGAAATTTTAACAATTGTTGTCCCTGGAGGTGAGGAATGAGAAGTTCCTGTCCTTCAAGTCCCCAGAGAAGAGGCTGGATGTGTTTCTCCATCCTTATACAGTAAGTCAGCCCTACTCACAGCTCTGGGCTTTCAACAGAAACCTTCTGCTCCTCTCCCATGGGCAGGCTATGGCGGAGAGGGGCTTCTCTATCAATAAAGAAGTAGAAACTTGTAATATCCAAGAGGACACTGTCATTGCACAGAGAGTTGTATGCGATTAGGTGTCCATGTATGGAGGTGTTACCAAGGTGCCCCTCACACCAGAGCTTCTGTCTTCAACCACATCAGCAAGGGTGAGGCACAGGATGCATCTCGAAAGTGAATGAAAGAAAAAAGAATCTCAAGCACATAGTCAAATTAGAATGATGATTGAGGAGGATTTGGAGCAGCTAAAAAAGACAAGACAGACCATCCAGGAAGTTGCGGAGCATCTGAAGAGAGATGCAGACAAGATGGCAGAGGAGGCTGAGGGCAAACAAGGCAGCAAAATGGCGGAGCAAAGTATCATTCAACCACGTTGGTTTCGCACGTGGTGGAGTAATAACTACCTTTAATGAAACTGTTTGAGATCCAATTAACGCTAGATTTGTTTTATATAAATTACAGACATGTCATCTGAGGACTATTTCTAATTGTTCTCAGTTGTTTTGCTTTATTACCAGACTCAATATTTGGCTCATTCTTACACAGTATGCACGTGCACATGCGCACTCTTCAAACACGTTACTTCAAATCTTTTGACAAACTAAAAGATGTAAATTCCATTTATATCTGTTCTAAATAAAAGACACTGGTTGCACTGAATGTCAGTTTGCTTATTTTGCTCAATATAAGGATTTATTACGTCCAAATGTCATGCAAAATAGAAACGATGCCTCTAACCATAGGTTGAGAGCTGTCGTTCAAACCACACAACTTTGCGATGCTGTTTGCGAATGTTCGTTGGAACGATGGTTTCGGGAAACATTGACTCTTTGAACTATGCTGATAACGACGGAACTTGCGACCATAGTTGGCTAACGATGCTTTCGGGTAACACATCCCTGCATGGGTGAGTGTAGCAAACAGACTCAGTGCTTTCTTGCCATTGATGTGTGCGTATATCAAACAAGTAAGTAGGTTTATGTATTTCAACTCTCATTAACTCTTTGATGAAATGCATGTTTGTCTACTCCTTTTTTAAGGATACTTCAAAGTGTTAAAGTTCATTGAAGTAGGGATTTGATGCTGCATTGAAGCATTTCTGCTACATCTCATTGGATGTATTTATCTTGTTATTGAATTTTTTCTGTTATGTATATATATATATGAAGAGTTCAGATGCAAAAGCCTCTAAATGCCATTTGAAATTTTCTGTGATTTTTATCAAACTTGTATATTTAAGTTCAGTAATTTCACTTAAATAACAATTAATTATCATTAGGTAATTATCATTGCCATTTAAGTGAAATCACTGAACTTAACTATACAAGCTTGATAAAAATTATCATTCTAGAAGAAAATTTCAAATGGCACTTAGAGGCTTTTGCATCTGAACTCTTCATATATATATTCCCTCTAGTCTCAGCCTCAGACGTCACGCCCACAGACCGCACAGAAAATTGGGAACACTTCAGCAGTTTCAAAGTGATCATCTGATTGAAGACGTGTGCCACGCTTTCTAATGATCACTCATGGAAAAAGAAAGCCGCCATGTACTGTGACTGAGTGCATATCAAGATCAACTAAACACTGGATTTTCAAATGTGTGTGAAGTTCACACCAAAGAATTTTTAAAATATTAAAAAGTTTTACATGCCGCCGGTCTGTTATTGTAGGGATGTCAACAGTATATTTTCACACTCTAAAAATGATGCGGAACAAAAGAAACTGTGATTGGTTATTTAAAATCTGACTCAGATGGCCTCTAGTTGGTCCTTGTCCAAGGAAATCTGCTATGGAGTCCAGACCTTCTGCCACCAGTCTGAAGGTCTGGCTACGAAATGCTGCATTCCCTCATCTCAATGAACCAAGGATGCATGACTAAACAGAGTTTTTCCCACCCCTTTTTTTTCACAATTTAATGTGAAATTAAAATTGATGAATAATGAAAAGTTACACCCTTCACTAACTAAATTACTAACTAAATTCTAATTAGAACTAAATTAACTTGAGTCAGAAGGCCTAAAGTGTCACGGTTCTGTCACTACAGTTCTGGTTATTCTTGGTTTGGTGACAGCGCTGTGACATGCCAGCAGGTGGAAATTAGTATATCCTGGTAAATGTTACATTTTTCCTGTTCAAAAATAAAAAAATGGAAAAAAAAGTTTCTATTTGTGTGGTGTGTATACATATCTACAAGGGGACTTGATATTAAAGGTGCTGTAGTGATTTAAGCATTTCATTTATTTTATTTATGCATATAGATAAATTATTTAAAACAACATTACTAGTCATTACTAGTCAACTAATAATAAAGAAAAAATAAACACATATTATTAATATAGCTGTACAGTAAATTTTCAAACAAAAAGTGTTTCATTACAAGTAAATAAAAGTGATTGTTATCAGGAAACAGACGGACTCCCCCCACTGTTCAATGAAATCTAAGCTGTACTGAAATAGAACTTGAATGAAAATGAAAGTGTTTAAGCAATGTTTTAAGATCATACATCTATATTCTTTTTATGTGTACTGCTGAATTAACATAATTAAAACATTTTTAATGTACTAATAATGTTCTAATGTACTGAAACAGATCCTTCTGAGAACACAGCTGGAGTGAAAGTGAGCCATCTCTGTTGCCCCCTCAAACAAAGTGCACACGAGGAGAGTGTAAGAGAGAAGAAAGTCCATAATTTCTTGAAAATCCGAAAAATTTGATAAATCAACTTACAATTGTACGACTAATATTTTGTTTTCAAGCATGTGAAAACACTTTTCCATTTGGCTGAATTCTCCATGCCACTCTTGTTTCCTTTTCAATCCCGCATTCCTTCAGCTTCAGCTTTGTCTGAAAAAGAGAATTGGTAATTATTAGTGATTCAGGATATGACAAAAACACAGTTTTGAAGATTACATAGTGTTCTTTTTATTATATATATATATATATATATATATATATAAATTTTACAAATTGTCATTGAACGGAGTTGCTTAACCTTCACAAAATATTTCAATCTCAAAAGGACAAACTAATTTTTACATTTTAGTTATTACATGAGTTATTTTGGGTGCACAAATATGCCTTAATTCATGATTAATTAAAGCTGCAGTCCCGTGTTTTTCCTCTTTGTCGCCATCTCTGTTCGAAACCTGCAGTCATTCGCAGCATTATCAACTTTACGTTAGTTGTACCAGAGAATGTCTAATAAGGGTAGAATTGGCACTGTTTGGTTAATTCCTGTTTCTGGACTGGCTGCAGTAACACGTCTCTGTCCATGCGGGGGCGCTCGCAGGCGAGTGCAGAATGAATGGGAGTCTATGGGGTTTCACCCCCAAAATCCACTTTTCTCAGTATGTAATTTTTTTCAAGTAATTTGAAAGTCTCATTCTAAGTCTCTATATAAATATACTTGACTTGACCTGACATGAAACATCATTTAATTATTATTAACTTTGATAATTACTGTAACAGAACACTCCCCGCCTGACATGATTGAGCACCACCAATAAATAACTGCTTGTTGACACATTACTTTAACTTGGAGTATGACAATCCCTGTTACATGTCTACGGAAGAGCTTGGTGCCATCTTGTCTAGGACCTTTTTTTCCAACTTGCAAACATTATTATTTTTTAATTTTTTGCATTTGCTTGGAAAAACCTGCGTAATAACTCTCATTGGCCATTCATTTCTTTTGGCTTGGCTATATTTGCTTTTTACATTGATGCTGTAAAAGATTGAGCTACAGGGGTGCACACATTCTGTGTGAGGATAAAAGAAGTTCCCTTTCGTAGTCACTCCGAGTTACGTCAGATGACGGAGAATGGGGTTTTGCATAGAAAGCCAGTCAGTCTCCCCCGCCTTTCCTCCCCTCCGAGCACTCAAGCACCCGTCCAAGGCCTGTAGGTTCTCGTCATCGATGGTGGCGAGGTCCTATAGAGCTGCAGGACAGGTGGCCGCTGCCCTGCATGCAATGATCACCTTGCAGGTTTTTCAGGCAAAGCTGCTCAGAGACATGCACGAGGGCGGGACTGAATCGGGGGCGTTTGATGAACTGCGTGCTGCTACTGACCTCGCCCTCCGGGCGACTAAGGTGGCAGCACGCTCCCTGGGTCAGGTGATGGCCACTAACATGGTCCAGGAGCGTCACCTCTGGCTCAACCTGGCTGATGTGCGGGACGCAAAGCGGACTCGTCTGCTCGACGCTCCCCTCTCCCAGGCTGGCCTCTTCGGCGGTGCGGTCGAGGACTTTGCCCAGCAGTTCTCGACCGCTCAGAAGCAGACTGAGGCTATTGAACACATCCTGCCCCGACAGCCACCCAGCCATCGGCACAGGCGCCTCAACCTGCTCGCCGCCGAGGGCGCCCTCCTTTCATTTTGCTCTGTGTGCTCAGTGATGGTGTCAAGTCTTTCTTTAACCAACTCAGGGTGCTGCCCACCCGTGGGTGAGCAGCGGGGAGCTGAGAACAAAAGATTCTCCCCCGGCCCTCCACCGGGGGAAGGAGGGAGCCTGCTACCGCCTCCTGTGAAAGACCCCCTCAGGCCCCGCGCCCCGCTAAACGCCAGGCCAAGCGGTGTTCCTGAGACGGGCTGCTCAGTGTTGGCACCGAGTCTTTCACAGGCGGTAGCATAAGGCGAGGCAGGTTTGAATACCCTGCCACCTGTGGTGGCGGCTACCATCACTTCCGCTAGAGCGTCGTCCACTAGACACGTCTATGCGTTGAAGTGGAACCTCTTCATCAACTGGTGCTCTTCTCGCCGAGAAGACCCCCGGAGATGCTCAATCAGTGTCGTGCTTTCCTTCCTGCAATAAGGGCTGGAGCGAAGGCTGTCTTCCTCCACCCTGAAAGTGTATGTGGCTGCCATCGCCGCATTTCATGAAGCATTGGAAGGTAAGTCTTTGGGAAAGCACGACCTGATCATCAGGTTCTTGAGGGGGACGAGGAGACTAAATCCTCCTCGCCCTCCTCTCGTATCCTCCTGGAACCTCTCAGTGGTCTTAAGTGCCCTGCAGAGGCCTCCCTTCGAGCCTCTGCAATCAGTTGAGATGAAGTTCCTGTCAATGAAGACAGCGCTCCTGGTTGCACTGGCCTCCATCAAGAGGGTAGGGGACCTGCATGCATTCTCAGTTGACGAAGCGTGCCTGGAGTTCGGGCCGGCCTTCTCTCACGTGATCCTGAGACCCCGGCCCGGAAATGCGCCCAAAGTTCCTACCACTCCCTTCCGGGACCAGGTGGTGAACCTGCAAGCGCTGCCCCTGGAGGAGGCAGACCCAGCCTTGGCACTGCTCTGTCCAGTACATGCCCTTCGGGCTTACGTAGACAGAACGTGGTGTTTCAGGACCTCAGACCAGCTCTTTGTCTGTTATGGTGGGACCCAGAAGGGAAGGGTTCTCTCAAAGCAGCGGCTGTCTCACTGGATTGTGGACACCATTGCTTTGGCTTACCAATAGCAAGGTCGACCGTGCCCCCTTGGTGTGATGGCCCACTCCACCCGGAGTGTGGCTTCCTGTTGGGCTCTAGCGCATGTCGCCTCGCTAGCAGACATATGCAGAGCTGCAGGCTGGGCGACACCTAACACATTCGCGAGATTCTATAACCTCCCAGTGGAGCCTGTGTCCTGTCTTGTACTCGCTCAACCGGCCAGTACTGGACCCGCTCAGGTGTCTTCGCTTGTTCGCCATTCCACTCCACGGACTGGATAAGTGCGATTGTTTTCCTCAGCTGAGCCTTCTATTGTAGCCCTGAGTCCTCCAGCACTGATGATGCTGGCGCCAGTGTCTGTTGCCTGGGCGTCAGCTAGGTGCCTCCATGTGCACGGTTCCTGCTACCCAGCTAACAAAAACACGTCCCCAGAACGTCCCCTGAACATCCACTGCGAACGTCCCCTGAACGTCTTTGTGTTGGGTTCTTTAAACGTTCTCAGGACGTTGCAGGGGACGGTCGCAGGACGTTCACAGGACGTCGCGGGGGACGTTCACAGGACGTTCCCATGACGTCGCCGGGGACGTTTGCAGGACGTTCAGCAAACATTCGGGGACTTTTCAGACTTATAGTGAACTTTAACATTCACTAGAAGTCTTTTTTAAAATATTATAGTCTGATAACACACATTTTAACTACTCAAGGAACAAACACACAACAAGGAATATCAGGAAACAAAATAATTTTATTTTTATTATCAAAAAAGAGCGTGTGTGTTTGCGTGTCCGGTTGCCAGGTACAGCTGAAACGCGTTACTCCACATCTGATTCCACCCGTAAGCTTGGAACCTAAAACAAAGTAACACAATTTTAGTTGGATCATTGTAATACAATCAGTAAAGGATCAATATTAAGCCTTAAGAGAGCATAAGAGACTTTAAATATATAAAATACAATACCATACATATACAGTGATGTGAATAAGTTTGGACACCCATGCTATCATCTTTTGGATATTGATCTTAATGCCTTAATTAGAAAAATGAAGAAAACTCCAACCTTTAAGGACACAAATTTTCTTTGTGAATGAATAATGTATCATAAATAAATAAATGTTTTCCTTAAAATACAGGGTGCATAAGTCAGGACACCCCTATGTTAAATTCCCATCGAGTCAGGCAGATTTTTATTTTTAAAAGCCAGTTATTTCATGGATCCAGGATAATATGCATCCTGATAAAGTTCCCTTGGCCTTTGGAATTAAAATAGCCCCGCATCATCACACACCTTCCACCATGCCTTGAGATTAGCATGGGGTACTTTCCATAAGATTATCTTTCAATGCAAATCAAACCACTTTCCATAAGATTATCTTTTAATGCAAATCAAAACCAGCATTAGACTAACTGAAGTAAAACCATGCCAATCTCAAGGCATGGTGAATGAACACAGCCTTGGGGTGCACCTGTACTGAGGAACAGAGGGGAGGATGTATTATCATTCATCCTTACCCTCTGTTTCCTGTTCCAGAGAAAACTGTGAATCCAGTGGAAAATGCATGGATCGATGTCCAGTAGTATATTGACCAGTTTGACGGGGTTTATTGTATTGAATTCAGAACTGAAATCCATGAACAGGATGCGGGCATATGTGTTTGCGGACTCAAGGTGGTTCAGTATTTGGTGCATTTCTAAGTTGATGGTGTCCTCAACTGACCTGTTGGCTCTATAAGCAAGTTGTAATGGGTCCATGAGTGGGGTGGTGACAGTTTTTAGGTGATTGGGTAAGATGCGCTCGAATGATTTCATGACTGCTGATGTCAGGGCAATAGGCCTGTAATCATTGAGGCAGGAGATGGTCTTGGTTTTGGGGACTGGGATGATAATAGATTCTTTGAAGCACTCGGGTACTGAGTATCAAACTTTATATATATATATATATATATATATAAATAAATATATAAATAAATATATAAATATGTACTAACAACATTAGTGTATGTTTGAAGTTTTAGTTCAGTTCCAAGTGGACATTTGTCTTTGGCTTACTTATAGTATGGTGCCTTTTAGAGATGATGGTCAGTTCAACTCAGCTACAGAGCAGGGCATCAGCATGGAACGATCTAGGAACACAACAAACCATTTGTCACATAGCCAACAATTATCTTGTTGCTGCTGAAATCAAAGAATTTTTTTATCAATATTTATTAACAATTCAGCTAGTTTCAGCCGTGTAAGTGACGTCATCGATTAACAGTAACGTAATAAAACGTAACGTTTTATGTTAAATACATACGTTTTTAGCTCACTCCCAAGCAAAATATTTTGACTACAAAAATATCAAAACCTCTCATCAACGCATAAAATGTGATTAAAAGCCCAAACATTCATAAACAAAAGCTCAAGCTATAAAGTTAGCCTAACGTTAATTCTTCTGGAAACGGTTATTGATGCTAATGGACTTTTTCGAAGACACTAACCCATTTCTATAAAGTAAATATTAAACAGAAGCGTGTCAGTTACAATTAAGAGAAGTGTCAAGAACAGTCGTGTGTGTTATTTGTGTGATTTTAGAGACTAAACTCACCTGAAAGCAGTGAAAACAGGGAGAGTCTGAGTTTTGCTGTCTGCACTGGTGACGCTCCGTTTCCATGGCAACTCAACTTCATGCGCATGCCCGTTAAAACGCATCATGTCATGCATTTACAAACATAAACTAGAAATATAGCTGCAAGAAGCGATGGCGGGCCCAAGCCGGTGGCACTGCAACCCCGGTTCCTTTAGTTACCTAAAAGCACCGGGGTGGCAGTGCCGCAGGCTTTGGCCCTTTTATGATTAAATGATTAAATCTTAAAACGGCTTGCCATACTCTGTTGTTTCGACTAGTCACAATTACGTTACAGATATCTTAAATGATAATACAAACTATCCAAAATGTAATTATGACTAGTCAGAAAGACGTTGTTGATATCTACAATGTTAATTCCGGATAGCCAAACTTAGCTTTTAAATGTTAAAAGGGCTTGCCATACAGAGACGTAGGCTCAGAGAGAGGCTCACCATATTCAAACCAAAATATCTGACTTCCTCTTGGTCCGAGCTAATGACTATGAATTAGAAGGTTGTCCGGCTTGAGGAGTACAATGTATATACCGATTTTTGTAACTGTAGATAAAACTAACAACCCCACTTTTGTCAAAAGGTGGCGCTATTTAGTCCCTGCACCACGTCCGTTTCTGAAACTTTGCACATGTCTACTGGCCAATAAATGTGATGTGTCTGTTGAGTTTCATGCAATTTCAAGCATGCTAAGAGTCTCAAAAGCATCCTAAAAGAATTTTAAAGTTTGATGTGTTGCCACGGCAACAGTATCAAAGATATAAAAAATCCATTCACAGGTCTTTATCTGGCATGTGTTTACATTATACAGATGAAATTTGAAGCAAATCGGGTAAAAATAAGAGGGTGATTTCAAAGCATTTTGAAAGTGAAATAAGTGAAAGTGAATAAAAAATATATATTGTGAAATGAAAAAATCCTATATCGTCCAGCTCTAATCTATCAGAATCTATACCAAATTACCAAATTACAGAAACTACATATTCTTCATTATCGGTTTCAACACAAATAGTTTAATCCTTACCCACTGCAAGATAGTCTTCAGCATTGTAGGGTTATTTAGATCATGACCACTTTTTATTTTCACTCTCACAATCTGTGTCTTTGTACCTGTTAGAGTATAACAAAGCAGTCCAGTGAGAATCTGTTGGAAGTATATGATGCAATATATAATAATTATATTTTTAATTAAAATATATAAATAATTATATAATTATATAGTCCAGTTATTCGGAACGCTGAAATTTATAACATTTGTTACATCAATTAGTTGCCAATCAGACTTACGGTGCGTGCAGAGGAAAGGAAAGACCTTTGTGCAGACCTCATAACTGATCATACCAGTATCTGAAACTCCACAAGGTCTTTGCAGAGTAATCATGTCTGGATTAGTCAGCCAGGTAACGGAGGAATTGGAGACATTTGTTGCATCCGACCATTTCCACGTGTCTCGGAAAAGACCAATCCAAGCACTTGTATATGGACTCATCACAGTCAGCTGGTTATTCTCAGTTTGATTCCGAATGATGACCAGGTCTGTGTAATACTGTCTGCAGTAGATCTGAGCCTCCTTCCAGGTCTTGTCATCTCTAACGAAAACAAACCTATTTGTGCCGTTCTCTGTAATAAGAGTTGGTTAAATTACTTTCTCTTTTTTGTTGTTGCACAGAGTAAATATAATAGAGTACATTTGTTTGTCAGTGCTTTGTCTAGATATGTTTAGAAAGTAATGATGATCCATTGTTTTGAAATGTCTTGTGTACATACATACCATTTACTTCAAATCTACCTTACCTTCCCCCCCACCATTAACTGAAAATTTAGGCTATTTGTGTTTTCACTGTTTTACGATAGGGGGTGCTATTACACATCTTCTGAAAGAGTACAGAATCTCCTGATCAAAACACGGGAGAAGAAGAAGCTGTTTGGTAGTGCAACCACAGAAACCGAAAATTCTCGGGCCAGCAGCATGTGTCCAAATTTCAATCTTCTTTCCGTTCTATTTCATCAGAAACGATCTTAAAGCAGGGCTTTAAGTGTTAAATACCGAACTTGTCCTTTTAATGCAGCCAAAAAGCAACCAGACAAGTAAACACGCTTTGGATGATAAGCTGAATATATTGTAAGGACCACCCATTGGCCCAAAGACGGAATCCAATGGCTGGGCGAAGGGATAATACGTGTATGTCTTTTCAGCGCTCCAGTAAAGTTCACTTAATTTATTAGAATTTAGTTTCAATATTACTTAAGCTCTACGCTTAATCTGACTCCAATTTTTACTGACGATCAAGTTTAGATTGTGTTTCTTATTAGAAAATAACCATAACTATTGATTAGGATTTAATTTAGATCTTTGATGTGTCTGTGTTTCTTACACTTTCAATTATTCGTTCATTATGGACCCGATGCCGCACAGAGATCACGTCAGCCGGATCGTGTTTCTCACGGACAGAAACCTTGTCAGTTCTGTATTTAGTCAGAGGGTGCAGGGTTAACTAATACTTCTTAAGTCGGTTGCCTACTGCTCACACGTACAAAGAATGTAGTTTATTTTAGTCACTTCCATACAACTTGCTAAATCAGTGATAGACAGAAATCAAAAGGTCTTCAGAAGGACGTGCCTACTGCTCCATTCACATCTGCGCCTTTAGTTTGACCTATCCTGCAAGATTTGCGGTAGCAGCCTCCTATAATTTACTAAAATAATGACGTCAGAATACTCCAGAGTAAATCAAGATGTAACATTTATTTGTCAGGAAAAAAATGTATCATGCCAATTACCCAAGCAATTAACAGCCAATTCAGAAATAGTAAATACATGACATCAATTACTCAAAGATGATTCTAAAAGTAAGCAATGCATTCCTGACAGAGACACACAGTAGTGTGTGAGTGCTTTCCACTGGGAAAACACTGACACAGCACTGTATGGGGGTTTTCCTGGTTACAGGTTCCCGAAGACTGCTCTGTTATCTAGCCTTAAATACCCAGACCAGAACAAAAGGGTTGTACCAATAGCTTTCAGAGTTTGTTTTGGGTCAATTCCTATACCCCAAGGGGTAACACCTGGTCTCGGGGGAGAGGGGAGATATTTTGAAAAGACATCACCCATGGAGAAGAACAGGATTCTCCTAATGTGTGTCACAAACCGTAATGTAGTGTCAGGCAGGAAGAAACACAGATTGTAAGCTGCTTATTTGTTCTTAATGGGACAAAAACACTAAATAAGACTGACAGTTGGACACAAAGTGCTTGCTGAAGACAGAAGCTGTCGCTGCTGTGTTGCCGGTAAGGGTTTCATCAACTAGTCGACTGTTACAACCACTAGTCGGCGCTGTCGGCCCTAATCCACTAGTCGGAAAGAAAATGGAGTCAGGCATTGAGGAACCTAACACCCACTGCCAACAGCAACTGTTCGTAGCAATAACGCTAGCCATGCTAGCACTGCATCATCGTCAGGCAGGCAGACAACAATCGATTTTTTTAACGTTTGATTTGCTGGTCAACTTTGTTGTCAAGGATGTCCACCCAATATCCACTCTCTCTGTGAGAATTTAAATATGAATATGAAACTAAATTGTTTTTTGCAATTTTTTCATAGACCCTGATGAAGGTGAAGCTGACTGTGGGGACAACTAGTCTGACTATGGCAAGAAAACAAGGCTGGAGAACGACTTCGAACAGCAATTTGGACCACATTATGAAGGTGCGAAGAGCAAAATGCCAGGATGACCAATGCAGACGAACTACGGGATTACCATAAATTAGCCCAAATACCCACAATGGATAATCCACTAAAGAGGTGGGCACACAATGAAGGCAGTTTCCCCCATCTACCCAAGTTGACGAAGAGTTGTCTTCTCTTCGCCAAGAGATATCTGGCAAAGAGTTAAGAGTTGGCGACGTATCCTTTTCTTAATAGCACGTTCGCCAGCGCAAACTTTCTAAAAGAGCAGCGAGCGACTTTTTAAAGATTCCTTGCACTTCCTGTGGCTCATGCAGAGTGAGAGCCAGAATCATTTCCCTATCGCCTCTGCCAGCATCCGATATGTAGGCTTATGTAGGCTTCCCGGGGCTCATGTAGTGGATGCTTGGCACGCACAGCATTGACAATGGGTTCCCGTAGCGCAAGCTAACTTATGCAATACAAGAGAACCTCTCGTAAGAGAATGTTTTGGTTACGTAAAGTTACCTCAGTTCTCTCTAGAAGAGGGGACGAGTATTGCGTAACCGGCCGTGCTCGCGCCACGAGCGACTTTCGCTTCAGTCGATGAAAACCAGGGAAGCAGCCTTTGAACCCCGATTATATACGCCACGCCCATTCTGGCAGGCTGTGAAGCCATGAGGGCGCAGGCGCCTCTCATTGGGTGCAACGTCATGTCGGGTTTACTGGTAGGCGGCTGCAGTTGCCGCACAGCAGCCTATGAGCTCGCTAGTTAGCCCGGTCTGTCTGGCAGCTGCTGCACTGCGTTGACAATGAATAGAAAATTAAGGATAATTTTTTGGCTTCAATATCTCGAGAAGATGGATCTTTCCCGTAGTGTAAGCTAACTTACGCAATACTTGTTCCCTCTTCTATAGAGAACCGAGGTTACGTTTGGTAATCGGAACGTTTCATGGCCCCTAGATTATTGTTGTATGAAAATCTGAACATGCAACATGACATCATGACTTTTGCGTAAACATACACGCCACTTTCGAGTCAAGTGGCGTGTTATATCTACGCATTTTGAGCTATCCGCGTGTATGCGTGTATGTCTACGCCATTACCGTCAGAGTGATTCCGCGTGTCTGTACACGCCGTCAAATGTCCACACGAAACGAAGCAAAATGTAGATCTACATCTGGGGAGCGATCTTTTTTTTCCTAGGATGGTAAGGGAACAGTCATAAATGCCATTAACCCCAGTGACGGTTAGGTTTAGGGACGGGGTTGAGGTAAGTCATATCTTTTTTTTTCCTAGGATGGTAAGGGAACAGTCATAAATGCCAATAAACCCAGTGACGGTTAGGTTTAGGGACGGGGTTGAGGTAAGTCATATATTATATACAGTAATAGCGTTAAGTCAACGGCGTTCATAAACACGCTGAAAAGCGATTATGCATCTTGATAGCACGCCAAAAATGGAAATACGAATTGGCGTGTCATACACACGCTACTTCATGAGATCAGTCTGGAACATGCCATATATCAAAAGAAAGAATAGGCTCAATGCTTTTAAACATAAAATCCTGTTTTACTCTAGCTTCATGCTTTCTTTTTTTATCAACTCTTGAATGTAGTGAAGTTTAATAAAAAGAGCAACATTTTGAACAAAAAGCTACGAAAAATGCTCTTTTGTCAAAGACTATGACAAAATGATCAAAAAAATCCATCAAAAATCCAGTCCAATAGCTCATCCTGTGTCGAAATTGTATTTGGCATTTAGCAGTTTTGAACGATATGCTGTTTAAAGAGCCCCTACATTTTCAAAAATCCATGATAGGTGCTCTTTAATGTCTACGGTCAAGTTATTTTGCATATGCATTTGCTTAGATATGTTATTGCTTGTTTCTGTTGCTTCTTTACATGTCTTTTTGTTTTGTAAATTCTGTACTCTTTCAGAAGATGCATAATATTCCGCCAAATTTCCAAACATTTCCGCCAATGACGGAAAATTCCATGAATGGTGGGGAAATAGTTTACTTGTATGACTATTTTTTTAAACAGGCTAACTATTTTGACCATACTGCTCAGTAACTTATAGTAAAATAGCCTGCATTAAAGTCCCCATGAACCGTAAGTTGCAAACGAATGTTCTCCAGTGTTGTGATGTATATCCAAGAGAAACGGAATACTTAATGAGGCAAAATAGTGGGTGGATTTTTTTCCAACTAGCACCTGATTGATGTTAAAGGCAAACAAAGTAAGTATGGTCAATTTTGAATTCATGGGGACTTTAAATAATTGCCATATCACCCACACCTAATGGTTGGTACTCAGAGATTCAATGTTTATGAATGATTTGTATGGTTATAGCTTAGTATGAAAGGCTTTTCATGTTTATGAATGATTTTTTTTATGGTTATAATTTAGTATGAAAAGCATTGTCAACATTGCGAACATTAGTCACATTATTAGCATTTGCTTCCATCATTTCTTACCATTGGAGCAAAAAAATGGAAATAGTCCGTTACAATTCCAATCATTCCATTTGCTATTTTGGAGCAAACCACATGCTTCTTCTCCAGCGTAGTTGTTTGGTTCTCCAGTGGACCATATCTGGAATGTAATTTTCTCATCCTTATAACTCCAACGCCAGCTATCAATGTCATTGTACAGTCCAACCCAAGCCATCTTAGCCATATTATAAACTGTTTTTTGTAGATTTGCCCAGTCATCATCATTTTGAACAGTGGCCAGGTCAATGTGGTTCTCTCTGCAATAAGCTTGTGCCCCATACCAAGTCTTCTGTTCCTGGATTAGAACATATTCACGTGAGATGCCCTCAGTAAATGACCAGAATCCTGTTGAGAATAAAGTATTGAATGTTACAGTCCAATACTGTGAACACTAAATTTGCAGCATCCCACCAGGATTCTCTTCAAAAGCGTTTGTATTACGTAATAAAATAAAACTGAGCTGTTACATTTTAACAAATAGGTGTAGTCCTTCTAAATCAAATAAGAGAAAATCATCTTTGTAAGAAATTGTGTAAAACTATTGTTTAAACTTTAAGATAATTGGGGCCGTCTTATCTACAATACTTTATTGGATGTGAAAGGAAGCAATATATAATATAATATAATTACAGTTAGGCTACAATACAAGTCAACACCTATTTTCACTGTAGGAACATTTTATTGTAGTGATTTCAGACACCCCTATTGTGGACCGTATATGTGCATTGTAATTCACGCCGCCTTAAACTCGACCTGTGCACAGCATCAAAGGTGTCCCCTATTTTTTGACGTCATTAACAACCTGTATTTCATGACGGGGTCACTTAGGCATGCTAGATTTATGGAAATCCAGCAACAGCTGCGGCCAGGGAAAACGAATTTGGAGCTAGAGAGGTCCTGTGACGTCAGATGGAGCTCGTAGTCAAGTGCAGTAAGTAAAGTGCTGACTTTTGGGTTCTATATTGGAGACTCTTGCAGAATTTTCTGAAAGCTCAGGCAAGACAGAACTTAGGCAGACTCACTACTGCAACAAATGCAAAATAAACAATTCTGTTTCTACTTGTTACGTTCAACAAGTTGTTTGAAATGAGTGACTATGCCACTAAGGGCTTGCAGTCTGCCATTATATCAGTAACAATTTCAGTCAGGATTCAGACCGCATCATAGCGCAGAAACTGTGCAAGTTAAAATTACAAATGACTTTTAGCTTCTGACCAAGGCTGGATCTCAATGGGCTATATGCACGCATAAATTCCGCATTTGACGCAAGGATACTCGTCCATTTCCGGTTGTGGAGATTAAAGCGGAGGAAAACCGAGGAAAACGGGATTATGGCAAAATTCAAAATTCATATATATATATATATATATATATATTAATAAATGTATGGTTACACACTATACAAAAAAGGTTTAAATTATATACACAGACATCCTACGACGACCACGACAACAACTTCAGATGCATTTGTTGTTGAATTGACTGACATCGACTGAAATGACTATTTGCTCAAAAATCATAAAATACACTTACCGGAGGTGACGTTGGATCGCAAACAGTAGACGAAGATCCACACTTGAGGATTAACTTTGAAGCAAGACATGCTTTCAATTGACCGTCGTTCACAAAACAGTCAGTCAGAAAATGATTTGCTCAAACATAAACTTATTTATGAAGGAAACTTCATAAACTTAAACTTCCAAAATACAATACATCCACTGTGTTTTCAGTGGCTCTGATGTCGGAAATAAGTGAAAACTACTATATATGTCATTATCAGTGTTGGGAGTAACGGCGTTTGAGTATAACGGCGTTACTAACGGCGTTATTTTTTCAGTAACGGGGTAATCTAATTAATTATTTTCCCCATTTTTGCAATGCCGTTATCGTTACTGAGAATGTAAAGTGGCGCGTTACTACAATTTGGGTTGAATGAAGCGCGAGATGTCAGTGTGTGATGCACATCAGCTGCCTGGAGAGAGCAGGGGTGGGGGGATGATGACGCCGTTGCAAATGCGATGATGATTGGCTGGGTGGGCGCATGCGCTACTCACGCGCTGTCACTGCACACTCTGACTACCACTAAACACAAGACAGCGGCAATGGCGATGACGAGCCAGTGAAATTCAAAGGTAGCGTTCTCAAACTGGAAGTACCAGCACTATTTCTCGCTCATTGAAATTAAAAGCAAGAATGTTTATGTAACATGCATGCTATGCCCAGGAAAAAAGACTTTATCCACATCTGCCTCAAGCAACTCGAATCTTATGAAGCACCTCACATCAATACATGCTAACACGACACTTGCTGCTGCCAACCCAAGCCCAAATGCAGCTAGCGTGAGCTCCAGCAGCGAAGGAGACGGAGCCAATCTGTTAAAGCAAGCAACACTCGATTTTTCGGGTCAGCAACAGGTGACCAAGCCAGAGCTGAACACATTGATTGCAAGGTATGTTGTTGAAAACATGCTACCCCTGTCCACTGTGGAGTCTGAGTCATTCAGAGCTATCCTTGCTAAAATACCAATACGAGGAGGAGGAAGGGGGGTTGCCCCATGCCGAAACACTTTTGCTAAATTCATAGACAGTGAATATGAAAATATGAATATTGAACTCAAAAAGTCATTTGAGGAACTCGAGTACATTTCAACTACAGCAGACATCTGGACTGCCCACAATAAAAGTTGCATGGGTGTGACAGCACATTGGATCAATCCAAATAACATGGAAAGAGAGAAAGCAGCTCTTGCCTGCAGACGGTTTAAGGGGAATCATACTCATGATGCTATTGCAGTTGAGCTTGACAATATACACTCGACATATGGGATAACACATAAAATCACAGCAACAGTGACTGATAATGGCTCTAATTTTGTTAAAGCATTTAAGAGGTACCAGCCACTTGAAGAGAGTGATTCTGAAGAAGATGATGAAGATGAGGTGACATTTACAGACATTAATGATGCTCTACAAGCAACTGATGATAATGATGGTGATGTTGTGATCACTTTGCCCCCTCACAAGAGATGTGCATCACACACACTTAACCTGATTTCATGTACAGATGTTGACAAGTGGCTGCTGTCAAAACCTGCAACAAAGGCTGTTTACAGAAGTGCTACTGCCAAATGTTCTGCCCTATGGAACAAGACTAGTCGATCAACTTTGGCTACTGAAACAGTTGATGAGGTGGTGTCAAAAAAGCTGCTTGTACCTTGTACAACACGATGGAATTCCTTCTATGATGCCCTGGCTCGAATATGTGAAATATCCATGGTAGACCTTAACACCATCTCCTCCAAATTAGGACTGTTCTAAAATACTGTACATAGTGTTCTTATTCTTCAATCAGTTAATATAAACATCTTTGATGTTAAATATGTTATAGAACTTAATAGCGTAATAGAACATAAATAACATCAGTTACTTTGCTGAGCAACTAATTACTTTTACAATGTGGTAACCGAGTTACTAACTTAATTACTTTTTGGGAGAAGTAATTTGTAACTGTAACTAATTACTTTTTTAAAGTAAGATGACCAACACTGGTCATTATTACATCCCATGCCACAACCGAACATTTATGTTTCCAAGAGACATTACCGGCTGTCATTGAAACAATCGAGGATGGTGTACAGATCACTGAGGGCGGGGTCTATGCCACAAACACACTGTCAATCAAACCCCTTGCTCAATTCTACGTCACAAAGCACTGAATCTTAGAACAGCTCGTTCTGAGACTGTGCATATCAAACCACTGGGTGGATTTTTATCATTATAGGGTGGTTTTGCTCACACACTGCCAATACACATTTATGTTCAAACACCATGTAAAAGTGAATTTTGCATAATAGGTGCCCTTTAACCTCTCTGAACCTGCTGACGACTGTGTTGACAAAGTCTCCAAACAAGCTAGAGGATGAGACTGGGGAATCTAACAGGAACACCCAGTCTTTATCTTTTATTCCTGTTAGATTAAGCCACAGGTGCCTTTCCATCCTGACCAAAGCAGACATCGAACGGCCAATGGCACGGGCCGTTTGTTTGGTCACACGAAGAGACAGATCTGTGGCTCTCCACAGCTCTGAGAAAGACTCCTCATCTATAGTGCTGCCAGCACTCAAATCCTTCAATAGGTCAGCCTGGTACGCCTGTAACATTGCCAAAGTGTGCAGTGCAGCACCAGCCTGACCTGCAGCTTGATAAGCTTTACCCACTAATGCTGATGTTATTTAACATGGTTTTGTGGAGAGGGTAGGTTACTTAATGGAATATCTCAAAGCAGGCGAGAGATAGCTCACAAGCATCTCTTCTACCTGTGACTTCTCCCGATAACCACGTGACTTTGCACCCAGAATAGTCGAAAAAGTAAAAGTCGAGGGTAAAAAGACACGGGAATGATTTTGGTTTACTCCATGCTCGTCATGGAGGTCCTTGAAGAAGGGGAGAGACTAATGTTTTGGTCCCTACCCCCTGCCACCGGACAGAAACCTATCTATGAGGCAATTGTGGGGACATGGAGGCATAAAGTCAAGGGAGAAGCCCATAGATTAATTATTTCAACAAAGGATTTGTTTCAGATTTCAATTCAGATTTGTCTTGGGTCAGCTACCAGAAGACTTACAACTGTCAGACAGTTTGCACACATCACATCTATGTCGTCAAGCTCAGTTTGAGCCTGGACAGTTCACTCAGCCATCAGGAAGTGAGTGCTTCTAATTGACTTCACTATTCTCTGTTGAAATCTATGGGGTCGCTGTGTCCATTTCTTTTACTGTCTATCTGGATTACCCCCTAGCGAAAAATAAGCAAAACCGTTTGAGATTTGCTGCAGCAGATTCAAGCAGCTGTAGTTATGTTCTTGTGTTTGTGCTAGAAAAATACAAAAGATATTTGTGAGAAAATATTCTACAAGTGTGCAACTCTCATTGTATTAATTCACATACTGATTTGCGGATGAGCAAAATTTCCAACTTTCTAAACTTCACATTTTTTGATGCAGGTGTGTAAATGTGTTTTTGCACAATATTCACTGCAGCATCTGTAGCAAAAATGTGAGCGTACGAGTTTCTTAATATGTGATTTGTAGAATAGAATTTGTGCACCTGCAATGGAAAATCTGAGGTGGTGTAACTGTTGTGTTGTGTTTGTGAAGAGAAAAAACGTCTACAACTTTGCAACTATTAAAACATTTCTCTCTGTGATTTCAAATTTACTGATACACGTGTGGCTATTCTCTACAACTACAAATTTCACTGTCACTGGCATTCAGTTGATTTGCACCAAATATTGATTTGCACCTTCATACTATAGTAACATCTCCTGCAAGTCAGCGTGAGATCCTTT